GATGATGATGATTGTCGCTATCGTTCTGGCCAGTGTGTGCTATGCATCGTTCTATAAATCATTATAATACCATCCTGACTGAAGTTGTATACCTTGCCAGAATCATTATAATACCATCCTGACTGAAGTTGTATACCTTGCCAGAATTATTATAATACCATCCTGACTGAAGTTGTATACCTTGCCAGAATCATTATAATACCATCCTGACTGAAGTTGTATACCTTGCCAGAATCATTATAATACCATCCTGACTGAAGTTGTATACGTTGCCAGAATCATTATAATACCATCCTGACTGAAGTTGTATACCTTGCCAGAATCATTATAATACCATCCTGACTGAAGTTGTATACCTTGCCAGAATCATTATAATACCATCCTGACTGAAGTTGTATACGTTGCCAGAATCATTATAATACCATCCTGACTGAAGTTGTATACCTTGCCAGAATTATTATAATACCATCCTGACTGAAGTTGTATACCTCGCCATAATCATTATAATACCATCCTGATTGAAGTTGTATACCTTGCCAGAATTATTATAATACCATGTTAATTGAAGTTGGTGCAGATTCCGTGGCTTAGGCGTTGCGAGTCCAACTCGGAATTCCAAGTCCCGCAATCGAAAACCACTGCTGGCTGCATGGATTTTTATCATGGTACGGGACGTCGGAGGTCGACCCAGCCTAAAATGGGTACCAGGATGGCTGTCCTGTGGAAGTAAAGACGGCCGGCGAATGCTGACCATATTACCCACCTAGTGCCGACTGGTCTGTAAAAATATGGCTGTTTTTTCCCATATTCCCTATGCGCCTAAGGCGTGAAAAGTTATCTTTACTTGTTAACTTTTCAATTGAAGTTGGCTGATTTTTTTTTGCGGGAAATTTGTAGAACTTCCAGAGGTGAAATAATATCCAATGACCATCGATATTACTAATACAATTTTCCGTTTTCCTTTTGGTCTCAGCAGCAAAAATTTTGAACATTGCTAACCTTACTTTCTTTTCTTCTTTCGGTGCTTTCGCCAGTGCTACAGAAGCCCTGCACTGGGCTGAGCTACTTCGGACTCAGACTTGAGTTAGAAGTGGAATGGAGCACTTATGGGCTACTACCCTTGTGCCATGATGTTCTACCGTTGTTCAAACCTCAGACCTGATGTTCTTTAGCTTACCTGGCTGTGCACCACCCTGTGGTATATTTGTGCCTGACAAGCTAGATGCCCAGAGGCACATTTAGATTATCAGGGTCTGAAAAGAATGGTGCAACGGAAAGTGACTAGGAGATATGGCCGACACCTCATACTAAGAGGAAAGGCAAGATATAATTGCATTAAGACTGTTGGTACCATCGGAGTTAAAACTCATCCATGGCTGCTGAAAATGAGGACGGAGCGCTTGTAGGAATGTCCCGAGTGGTATGATGTCGGCTCTTGAAATCCAGCACACCCATTGATCTTGCTCACATACTCTTAACGTTTCTCTCATGCATCGTTAAGAACCGACCAATCAGAGGCTAAGCAATTTTGCGCTCTACACAAAACCGCTCATGCACGGCGTGATCGTTTAGTCTCATTTGAAAACAATTGTTGGTAGCTCATCACTGACCGGCGACTCCAAAAAACCTTTACGTGAACCAATCATAGTCAAACATAGCTTACCGGTAAAGGAAACGTTAGTCCTCCCATTCTATACACCGGTACACACTAGCTCACTTCTGATTGGTCGACCTTAAACCAACCGGTCTTCACACAAGGCGACGGGAGTGTTCCGCAATGCCGTTGATATCGCGTGTTGTATATTGCATCATGCCAGCGCTTTTAACACTCCAAAAACACCGACAACTGGGTCTAACACCCAACCCTTTTAGAGAGTGACGAAACCTATGTCACAGGCAGTCTCTTTCTTGGAATAAAAACGTAAATGCAAGACAACAACAGAGCGCCACATCCATAACCTCGGCTACGGTAGACTAGTCCAACAAAGTTGTCAATGGAACGTGACCTACTTCCCTTGGGGAGACTAACGTTTGATTAACCAGCTTACCTGGATGATGAAGTTCTCATAACCATTCTTCCCAATCTTGACCCCAGTGTCCGGGTAGAAGCACTCTCCGTTCATGCCCACAGTCCACAGGTACATGAACTCCTGACAGCTGGCATGTGGCGTCACATCGCAGGCAAACGGACTGTCTGACTCCTGTACGTAACCTGGTACAGCAGGGCGTCAACAAGGCATCATCGTCAGTGTGGGTAACAGCAGGGACAACAGCAGGGACAACAGCAGGAACAACAGAAGGACAACAGCAGGGACAACAGCAGGGACAACAGCAGGGACAACAGCAGGGACAACAGCAGGGACAACAGCAGGGACAACAGCAGCAATAATATGGACAACAGTTTAGACAACAGCATTAGCAATATGAACAACAGTATTAGCAATATGAACAATAGTATTAGCAGTATAGACAACAGTATTATCAGTATAGACAACAGTAT